TCTGTGTGATGAGTCTATGGCTCTGTGTGATGAGTCTATGTCTCTGTGTGATGAGTCAATGTCTCTGTGTGATGAGTCTATGGCTCTGTGTGATGAGTCTATGTCTCTGTGTGATGAGTCTATGGCTCTGTGTGATGAGTCTATGGCTCTGTGTGATGAGTCTATGTCTCTGTGTGATGAGTCTATGGCTCTGTGTGATGAGTCTATGGCTCTGTGTGATGAGTCTATGGCTCTGTGTGATGAGTCTATGGCTCTGTGTGATGAGTCAATGGCTCTGTGTGATGAGTCTATGGCTCTGTGTGATGAGTCTATGGCTCTGTGTGATGAGTCAATGTCTCTGTGTGATGAGTCTATGTCTCTGTGTGATGAGTCTATGACTCTGTGTGATGAGTCTATGGCTCTGTGTGATGAGTCTATGTCTCTGTGTGATGAGTCTATGTCTCTGTGTGATGAGTCTATGTCTCTGTGTGATGAGTCAATGGCTCTGTGTGATGAGTCTATGTCTCTGTATGATGAGTCTATGTCTCTGTGTGATGAGTCTATGGCTCTGTGTGATGAGTCTATGGCTCTGTGTGATGAGTCTATGTCTCTGTGTGATGAGTCTATGGCTCTGTGTGATGAGTCTATGTCTCTGTGTGATGAGTCTATGGCTCTGTATGATGAGTCTATGGCTCTGTGTGATGAGTCTATGGCTCTGTGTGATGAGTCTATGTCTCTGTGTGATGAGTCTATGTCTCTGTGTGATGAGTCAATGTCTCTGTGTGATGAGTCAATGTCTCTGTGTGATGAGTCTATGGCTCTGTGTGATGAGTCTATGGCTCTGTGTGATGAGTCTATGTCTCTGTGTGATGAGTCTATGTCTCTGTGTGATGAGTCTATGGCTCTGTGTGATGAGTCTATGGCTCTGTGTGATGAGTCTATGTCTCTGTGTGATGAGTCTATGGCTCTGTGTGATGAGTCTATCGCTCTCTGTGATGAGTCTATGGCTCTGTGTGATGAGTCTATGTCTCTGTGTGATGAGTCTATGTCTCTGTGTGATGAGTCTATGTCTCTGTGTGATGAGTCTATGAATCTGTGTGATGAGTCTATGAATCTGTGTGATGAGTCTATGTCTCTGTGTGATGAGTCTATGTCTCTGTGTGATGAGTCTATGTCTCTGTGTGATGAGTCTATGTCTCTGTGTGATGAGTCTATGTCTCTGTGTGATGAGTCTATGTCTCTGTGTGATGAGTCTATGGCTCTGTGTGATGAGTCTATGGCTCTGTGTGATGAGTCTATGGCTCTGTGTGATGAGTCTATGTCTCTGTGTGATGAGTCTATGTCTCTGTGTGATGAGTCTATGGCTGTGTGATGAGTCTATGTCTCTGTGTGATGAGTCTATGGCTCTGTGTGATGAGTCTATGTCTCTGTGTGATGAGTCTATGTCTCTGTGTGATGAGTCTATGTCTCTGTGTGATGAGTCTATGGCTCTGTGTGATGAGTCTATGTCTCTGTGTGATGAGTCTATGTCTCTGTGTGATGAGTCTATGTCTCTGTGTGATGAGTCTATGGCTCTGTGTGATGAGTCTATGTCTCTGTGTGATGAGTCTATGTCTCTGTGTGATGAGTCTATGGCTGTGTGATGAGTCTATGGCTCTGTATGATGAGTCTATGTCTCTGTGTGATGAGTCAATGTCTCTGTGTGATGAGTCTATGTCTCTGTGTGATGAGTCTATGGCTGTGTGATGAGTCTATGGCTCTGTGTGATGAGTCTATGTCTCTGTGTGATGAGTCAATGTCTCTGTGTGATGAGTCTATGTCTCTGTGTGATGAGTCTATGTCTCTGTGTGATGAGTCAACCGTGCTCATGGGAACTGCGACAGCGACGACACCGACACGATAGGCCCGGCGGGCCTGGGGGGCAGGGGTCACGCTGAGGGTTCGTAGGGCGGGGGTCACGCTGAGGGTTCGTAGGGCAGGGGTCACGCTTAGGGTTCGTGGGGGTGGGGGTCACGCTGAGGGTTCGTAGGGCGGGGGTCACGCTGAGGGTTCGTGGGGGTGGGGGTCACGCTGAGGGTTCGTAGGGCGGGGGTCACGCTTAGGGTTCGTAGGGCGGGGGTCACGCTGAGGGTTCGTGGGGCGGGGGTCACGCTTAGGGTTCGTAGGGCGGGGGTCACGCTGAGGGTTCGTAGGGGGGGGTCATGCTGAGGGTTCGTAGGGCGGGGGTCACGTTGAGGGTTCGTAGGGCGGGGGTCACGCTGAGGGTTCGTTGGGTTGCCAAGAAGACGTCGCTCCCCTGCCCTCCGTCATTGGTAGAGAGCGGCTGCCACCTCCAAGTGGCCAACAGCGGCGTCCTTCACGAGCCTCCTCCTCCATCCACGGAGGCCGTTCGTGGCACTGCTAGTACCGGTCATTGGGCAAGTCCACTCAGCTCCCATTGTGTCCGTACATGATGGAGAATCTTCCGGTGCGGCCGCGGAAAGCTTCCCACGAACCACGTTGTCGAAAAAAGATACGCTAAATAATGTGGGAGACAGAGGACGACATCCCTGTCGCACCCCAAGGTGTACAACAGGGAATGGCTCTGACTCCTGGCCGCGTAGCTTTACCCGGGCCCGCTCACCATCATGAAGGTCCTTAATGATCGTGAGCAGAGGGTCAGGGACTCCGAAAGCACGCAGAACCCAGAGCCCAGGCCTACTGATGGTATCATAGGCCTTGACCAGGTCAATAAAGCAGAGATGTAGGTCTTGTTGGAATTCCCTAAACTTCTGCTGTAGCAGACGGGCAGAAAATATGGCATCTGTGCAGGACCGCCCTTTCCTGAAACCGCATTGGGGCTCCCTCAGCGTGCCTGACAAAGTGATGTTGAATAATCCTTGCCAGGAGGAAGATGCCCCTGTAGTTGTTACAAGCTGTGCGGTCCCCCTTCTTAAAAACGGGGACCACCAGGGCATCATTCCAATCCTGCGGAACCCGTCCAGTGGTCCAGACTGTTGTTATGATGTCATGTAGGGCAGTCTGCGCACAAACGCCACCCTCCCTCAGCATTTCACTAGGGAGATTATCGTCATTCGTAACTTCCTCAACAGATGGCACCTCAGCCAGCCACTCACAGGGGCTGACAATATCTCCCAATATTTGAGGCACCGCAGCCCCAGCAAGGTCATCCTCACTTTGTGCCACGATGTTTTCCTGGCTGAGAGATTTCCCCTCCCCCAGGACCTCACAGAAATGCTCAGCAAATCTGCAAACCTGTTCCTGTGAGTTCGGAGATGGCATCACCTCATTTCCCGGAAGAATGGTGATCAGTGTGGTGCTGCAGGTTACTTTTTTGATGGAGTTAAAGAGCGATTTGTGATCGCGGGCCATTGAGGCAGACTCCATCTCCTCAGCAACCCGCGACCACCACCCATCCTTGCAGCGCCTCACGGCTCTCCGAACCTCCAAGCGAAGGCTGCGGTAAGCCTCCTCATTCTGTGATGTGGGATGCTGCAGACTATGAGAGTGAGCCTGTTGCTTTTTCTCAACCATCCTGAACACCTCCTCTGTCAGCCAGGGTCTCTGGGGAGGTCTGGACCACGTACCCAAAGCAGCCATTGCAGCTGCATGAGTCACAGTCCTAAACCTCGCCCATTTACCCTCGACATCAGGAGGAGTGGGGGACGATGCCAACCCCAGCCGCAAGCGATGATGAAATTCTCGCTTGCAACTTTCATCAGCTAGCTGAGACCAGGCCACTATGGGTTTGAATGGGGTCCTGAGTGTACACCCACCACCGGAGTGGAAGAATGGCAGGTGCATCTTACAGACGACTAGTCGATGGTCAGAGGGCAGATCAGCTCCACGGTAGGTCCTGGTGTCAAGGACATGGGCTCACATCCGCTGGTCCATCACTATGTAGTCCAGCAGACGTTCTTGCTTGGACCCAGCGTGCATCCATGATGTGTGGATGCGCCGATGCCGGAACAGCGTGGTTGGTAACTACAAGCCCATGGGCTGCACAAAAATCTAGCAGCCTCCTACCGTTGTTATTGAGCTGATCTGGCCCATGCCTTCCAATCACTCCAGACCAGGTGCCAGCATCATGACCAACCCGGGCATTGAAGTCACCCAACAAGATGACTCTATCCCGAGGGGCCACTTTAGCCAGCACCTGTGACAGGAGGTCATAGAAGGCATCTGACTCATCGGCCTTGCCTGCATCCCTCCACGGATGTTCGTCTTCGGTGAGGGCATAAGTAACCACGACCACCATTCCTCGCCTCCGATTGATGGGAAGGCGAGCCCAAAGTAGCCTGGGGCTTACAGCTTCCCACACCTCACCGCCACGCTCCCACGCCCCCTTCATTCTTTTGTTCAAAAGAAGAGCCACTCCCTGTTGTTTGGCAGTCTGCTGCCCCGAGGAGAGGACTGTCCACCCGTCATGGTGGCAGGAGCCAGAACCGGTCCACCGGACCTCCTGAATGCCACAGAGATCCAGGCGGTACCGGTCCAGCTCCCGACAGAGGAGTGGCAGCCTCTCCTCCGCAGACACACACGCGTCTACACATACACCAACAACAACAATAACCGCCATTCGCCACTAAGTGGTCGGTGACGTCATCCACGACGCTTGTGCCAGGCCATGTCTACCTTGAGGCCACGTGAAGTGTCGAACGCCCGCTGGCAGGAGGTCACGGGGCAGACCCAGGTACACCCACACACACACATACACACGTGTCTACACACACACACACACACAAAGACAAAGCTCCCCCGTGTAGCCTGTAACAGACTGCAGGGGCAAGTGCTGTTAGCGAGCAGCAGCGGCTGCGAAGGCTACCGGCACACGAGGGGCGTGGGTGGCCAGCAACCACCACGCCCGGCCGCCTTTGTCTCCCCCAGTGGCGATGTTCACCACGCACCGCTACACCAGGTAACTCATTTGAGGCCGAGTCGACCTAGTGGGGGGGGGGGGGGAGTGGGCCCAGGACCGGTGCAGACGGCCGCCATCACCGGCTCACGGCCGAGACACTCACAGTACGGCGGCGGTGTCGGCGGCGAGTTTGGTGACGGAGCGGCGCGGTAGAACTGCTGCTGGTGCTGCTGCTGGTGCTGCTGCTGCTGCTGCTGCTGGTGCTGCTGCTGGTGCTGGTGCTGCTGCTGCTGGTGGTGGCGGCTGTGGCGGCGGAGGCGTTGCGACGGCGGCGACGGCACCGGCGAGCCGTGCGGCGACCGCGAGTCCAGGTCGATGGTGGTGAACAGGAGGCTCACCGGGTCGTCCGGCGCTCCGCCGACGCCGCAGCCGGCACAGCCGCCGGCGCAGCCGCCGGCGCCGGCGCTCGGCTCCGTGTCCGGAGCCACGTCCGGCTTGGGGCTGGCGGGCGAGGCGCTGCGAGCGGGGCTGACGGTGCCCACGGCGCCAGCGGGGGGTTCGCGGTAGCGGTAGAAGAGGTCGCCCTCCACGCGCCGCTGCTGCTGCTGCTGGTGGTGGTCGTGGTGGTGGTCGTGGTGATGGTCGTGGTGATGGTCGTGGTGGTGGTGGTGGCCGTGGTGATGGTGGCGAGTTGGCGACGGCACGGCCAGGCCGTTGGCGGCGCCGGCGGTGCAGCAGCAGCACCAGCAGCAGTCACCGTGCTGCTCGCCCGGAGTGATCTCGATGCTGGGGCACTCCATGGCGAGGGGGCGGAACAGCGGCGGTGGCGGTGGCGGTGGCGGTGGATACGCCGCGGCGGGGCTGCCGGGGCTGCCGGGGCTGCCGGGGCTGCCGGGGCTGCGGCGGCGGCAACGTCAACAATGACGGACAGTATCGGCAACATCCACATCATCATCATCAGCAGCGGCAGCAGCATCACCACCGCCATCACCACCGCCGCAATTCACCACCGCTACCACCACCGCCACTGCTGCCACCACCACCGCAATCACCGCCGCCATCACCACCACCACCATCACAACCGCGTACCACCACCGCCATCACCACCGCTACCACCACCGCCATCACCACCGCCGCCATCACCACCGCTTACCACCACTGCCACTACTGCCACCACCACCACCACCGCCACCACCGCCATCACCACCGCCACCACCCAAGCCTGACCGCCCCCTCACCTCAAGTGGCGTCCATCTGCAGGAGCCAGCAGGCCATACGTGGTGCCGTAGACAGGCGGCAGCTGCTGCTGATGATGCTGTTGCTGCTGCTGTTGCTGCTGCAGCTGCTGCTGCTGTTGCTGCTGCTGCTGATGCTGATGATGCTGCTGTTGCTGCTGCTGATGATGCTGCTGCTGCTGTTGCTGCTGCTGATGATGCTGCTGCTGCTGCTGCTGCACGGAGGCGGCCGCGGCTGCTGCCGACAGCGGCGGCGGGTCAAAGGGCGCGAAGACGGCGCCGTCGCCGGCACGGCCCGGGCTGTTGCCGAGGAAGCCGGTGCCATCACCGTGGCAGAAAGCGCTACATGCCAGCTCTGTGTTGGCAGACACACAGAGAGAGAGAGGCACGGGTTCACCCCGTGTGGGGCCTTGGAACAGGATGTCGGGGGCAAGTGCTGTTAGCTGTGTCACACTCACACACACAGAGAGAGGCACGGGTTCACTCCGTGTGGGGCCTTGGAACAGAATGTCGGGGCAAGTGCTGTTAGCTGTGTCACACTCACACACAGAGACACGGGTTCACCCCGTGTGTGGCCTTGGAACAGAATGTCGGGGTAAGTGCTGTTAGCTGTGTCACACTCACACACACACACAGAGAGAGGCACGGGTTCACCCCGTGTGTGGCCTTGGAACAGACTGTCAGGGCAAGTGCTGTTAGCTGTGTCACACTCACATACACACAGAGAGGCACGGGTTCACCCCGTGTGGGGCCTTGGAATAGAATGTAGGGGCAAGTGCTGTTAGCTGTGTCACACTCACACACAGAGGCACGGGTTCAGCCTATGTGTGGCCTTGGAACAGAATGTCGGGGCAAGTGCTGTTAGCTGTGTCACACTCACACAGAGACACGGGTTCACCCCGTGTGGTGCCTTTGAACAGAGTGTCGGGGCAAGTGCTGTTAGCTGTGTCACACACACACAGAGAGAGGCGCGGGTTCACCCCGTGTGTGGCCTTGGAACAGAATGTCGGGGCAAGTGCTGTTAGCTGTCATGCACACAAAGACAAAGGTCCCCCGTGTAGCCTGCGATTAGCACGGTTGGCTACGTACGGTGCAAAATAAGTTCCATGTACGTACACAGACTCGCACAGAGACCCATAGACTCACACAGAGACCCATAGACTCGCACAGAGACCCATAGACTCACACAGAGACCCATAGACTCACACAGAGACCCACAGACTCACACAGAGACCCACAGACTCACACAGAAACCCATAGACTCGCACAGAGACCCATAGACTCGCACAGCAGAGACGAACAGACTCACACAGAGACCCACAGACCCGCACAGAGACTCACACAGCAGAGACCCACAGACTCACACAGAGACCCACAGACTCACACAGAGACCCACAGACTCACACAGAGACCCACAGACTCACACAACAGAGACCCACAGACTCACACAGAGCCCCACAGACTCACACAGCAGAGACCCATAGACTCACACAGAGACCCACAGACTCACACAGCAGAAACCCATAGACTCACACAGAGACCCACAGACTCGCATAGAGACCCACAGACTCACACAGAGACCCACAGACTCACACAGAGACCCACAGACTCACACAGAGACCCACAGACTCACACAGAGACCCACAGACTCACACAGAGACCCACAGACTCGCACAGCAGAGACCCACAGACTCATACAGAGACCCACAGACTCACACAGACACCCACTGACTCACACAGCAGAAACCCATAGACTCACACAGAGACCCACACACTTATACAGAAACCCATAGACTCACACAGAGACGCACAGACTCGCACAGAGACCCACAGACTCACACAGTAGAAACCCATAGACTCACACAGCAGAAACCCATAGACTCACACAGAGACCCACACACTTATACAGAAACCCATAGACTCACACAGAGACGCACAGACTCGCACAGAGACCCACAGACTCACACAGTAGAAACCCATAGACTCACACAGAAACACATAGACTCACACAGAAACCCATAGACTCACACAGAAACCCATAGACTCACACAGAGACGCACAGACTCGCACAGAGACCCACAGACTCACACAGCAGAAACCCATAGACTCACACAGAAACCCATAGACTCACACAGAAACCCATAGACTCACACAGAAACCCATAGACTCACACAGAGACGCACAGACTCGCACAGAGACCCACAGACTCACACAGCAGAAACCCATAGACTCACACAGAAACCCATAGACTCACACAGAAACCCATAGACTCACACAGAAACCCATAGACTCATACAGAGACCCAGAGACTCACACAGAGACCCACAGACTCATACAGAGACCCACAGACTCGCACAGAGACCCACAGACTCACACAGCAGAAACCCATGGACTCACACAGAAACACATAGACTCACACAGAGACCCACAGACTCATACAGAGACCCACAGACTCGCTCAGAGACCCACAGACTCGCACAAAGACCCATAGGCTCGCACAGAGACCCACAGAGACCCACAGACTCACACAGAGACCCATAGTTTGGCTACGTGCGGTAGATATCATCGGTAGGCCAAAGTCCTGGTCTATTGATAGAATCGTAGAGCCTTGACCAGGTCATTAAAGCAGAGCTGTAAGATCCCTGTTGGTTGGATTTCCCTACACCTCTCACGATGGGAGCTGGAGTACGGAGGGGGGAGGGGGGGAGGGAGAGGAGATGGAGGGGAGGGAGGGAGGAAGGAGAGAGAGGGAGGGAGGGAGGAGAGGGAGGAGAGGGAGGGGAGGGAGGGGAGGGAGGAGAGGGAGGGGAGGGAGGGAGGGAGAGGAGGGAGGGATGGGAGGGAGAGAGGGAGGGAGGGATGGGAGGGAGGGATGGGAGAGAGGGAGGGAGGGATGGGAGGGAGGGGAGGGAGGGATGGGAGAGAGGGAGGGAGGGATGGGAGGGAGGGGAGGAGGGAGGGAGGGAGGGAGGGGGGGGAGGGGAGGGAGGGGGGAGGGAGGGAGGGGGGGAGGGGAGGGAGGGGGGAGGGAGGGAGGGGGGGAGGGAGGGGAGGGAGGGGAGGGAGGGAGGAGAGGGAGGGAGGGGGGGGGGAGGGAGGGAGGGAGGGGAGGGAGGGAGGGGGGGAGGGAGGGAGGGGGGGAGGGGGGGAGGAGAGGGAGGGAGGGGGGGAGGGGAGGGAGGGGGGAGGGAGGGGGGAGGGGAGGAGGGGAGGGAGGGGAGGGAGGGGAGGGAGGGAGGAGAGGGAGGGAGGGGGGAGGGAGGGAGGGGAGGGAGGGAGGGGGGGAGGGAGGGAGGGAGGGGAGGGAGGGAGGGAGGGGGGGAGGAGAGGGAGGGAGGGGGGGAGGGGAGGGAGGGGGGAGGGAGGGAGGGAGGGGGGGAGGAGAGGGAGGGGAGGGAGGAGGGAGGGGAGGGAGGGAGGGGGGGGAGGGAGGGGAGGGAGGGAGGAGAGGGAGGGAGGGGGGGAGGGAGGGGAGGGAGGAGAGGGAGGGAGGGGGGGAGGGGGAGAGGGAGGGAGGGGGGGAGGGAGGGAGGGGAGGGAGGGAGGGGGGAGAGGGAGGGGAGGGAGGGAGGGAGGGGAGGGAGGGAGGGAGGGAGGGGAGGGAGGGAGGGAGGGAGGGGAGGGAGGGAGGGAGGGGAGGGAGGGAGGGAGGGGAGGGAGGGAGGGAGGGAGGGGAGGGAGGGGGGAGGGAGGGAGGGGAGGGAGGGGAGGGAGGGAGGGGGGGAGGGAGGGGAGGGAGCGAGCGAGGGAGGGAGGGGAGGGAGGGAGGGAGGGGAGGGAGGGAGGGAGAAGAGGGAGGGAGGGAGGGGAGGGAGGGGGGGAGGGAGGGAGGGGAGGGAGGGAGGGGAGGGAGGGGAGGGAGGGACTCCTGTACGGGCTGTCTGTCAGCTAACGGAATGTGTGTGAGTGCGTGTGTGTGTGAGTACGTGTGTGTGTGTGTGCGAGTACGCGTGTGTGTGAGTACGTGTGTGTGTGTACGCGTGTGTGTGTGAGTACGCGTGTGTGTGTGTGAGTGCGTGTGTGTGTGAGTACGTGTGTGTGTGTACGTGTGTGTGTGTGAGTACGTGTGTGTGTGTACGTGTGTGTGTGAGTGCGCGTGTGTGAGTACGCGTGTGTTAGTACGTGTGTGTGTGAGTACGTGTGTGTGTGTGAGTACGTGTGTGTGAGTACGTGTGTGAGTACGTGTGTGTGAGTACGCGTGTGTGTGAGTACGCGTGTGTGAGTACGTGTGTGTATGAGTACGCATGTGTGTGAGTACATGTGTGTGTGAGTACGTGTGTGTGAGTACGTGTGTGTGAGTACGTGTGTGTATGAGTACGCAAGTGTGCGAGTACGTGTGTGTGAGTACGTGTGTGTGTGAGTACGCGTGTGAGTACGTGTGTGTGAGTACGTCTGTGTGTGTATGTGTCTGTACGGCCTTCATAGGTGCTCGCTAACAGCACTTGCCCCTACAGTCTGTTAAGGCTATATGGGGGATCTTTGTCTGTACGGCAAAACAACCCCCTACCTCCTCGCGGTGCCGGACGGGCAACTCTGTCGTGGACAGTGCTGTGGGGGGAGGTCCAATTTTGATTGGCTCCTCCCCTCATGGCGTCTGTGTCCACCACAGGGGCTAAACGGGGGCTCTGGACGGGTGCGAGGGGCTGGTAACCCCTCCACCTTCAATTAATTACCACTAAACCACGAGTTAAACTGAAATATCTAACTAATAAGCTCGTGCCGGAGGCCCCGGGGGGACAGGCGTCTATGACGTCTCCTGGCCAAACCCCAATTGGCGGAGCCAGGAGATTGAATCTCTACCCTCGGGGCTCCTCTAGAAACAACGAAAAGCCACTACGGATGGCCACGTGGAATGTTCGAACGCTCACTGCGGAGGAGAGGCTGCCACTCCTCTGTCGGGAGCTGCACCGGTACCGCCTGGATCTCTGGGGCATTCAGGAGGTCCGGTGGACCGGTTCTGGCTCCTGCCACCATGAGGGGTGGACAGTCCTCTACTCGGGGCAGCAGACTGCCAAACAACAGGGTGTGGCTCTTCTTTTGAACAAAAGAATGAAGGGGGCGTGGGAGTGTGTCGGTGAGGTGTGGGAAGCTGTAAGCCCCAGGCTACTTAGGGCTCGCCTTCCCATCAACCGGAGGTGAAGAGTGGTGAGCGTGGTTACTTATGCCCCCACCGAAAACGAACATCCGTGAAGGGATGCAAGCAAAGCCGATGAGTCAGATGCCTTCTATGACCTCCTGTCACAGGTGCTGGCTAAAGTGGCACCGCAGGATAGAGTCATCATGTTGGGTGACTTCAATGCCCGAGTTGGTCATGATGCTGGCACCTGGTCTGGAGTGATTGGAGGGCATGGGCCA